GGAAATGTGTGTATATATCTCTTTTTAACAGTCACTGTAAATACCCAACTGTACTCAAGGCCATTAATGGGGAATGTTTAACAGACAAACAAGAGGCCAAACCCACCCACTCAACTGTTCCCATTTCAGAGCATCTGCAAGTGATCCGTGTCCGTCCAGAGTAACAAGTGGTTGCTGTGCAGTTGTGATCCTTGGTTGCCAAACTGATGCCAGTCCGTGAATGGACATGACCATTGTCATTTTGCCACTTGGTTTCCTTTTTGGGTTGGATTTGCCTATTTTTTTTCCCTCCCCAGTCAAACATGCCCGAGCCTGTCCCTGTCTTTTGGCACGTGAATTTCTGCGGTGTTTCTCTTTTGAGTCTTAGGATGGAGCTGTTGTGCTTGGGTTAATCAAACCGTTCAGAAAGATCTCCAGGAAACTAAGCTGGATTTAGTCAGACATTCCCAGTGGACTTAAAGGAACAGCTGTGCCAATGTGAAACTGCCTCTCACTGCAGGAACTTCAGGCAAGAGCAATGGGATCCTCTGTGTTTTTCTGTACCCCGGGACGCTTCTGAGATCGTTTGTGTTCTAGCTAAGCTGTGAATTTTCTAAAAGGGCCCTGCAGTCGAGATATACCTATATTTTTTTGGCATTAATTGACAGATTGATCATTTGGATTCTTTGAATTACAAATATAACTGTCCCTTCCCTCCCACCTTAAGAGCAAAAGTCGGTTCCAGGGTGGTCTTTCCCTGCAGATGACCTTGGACCCTCTGCATCCGTGGCCAAACGTGGCGTTGGTGTTTTGGGGTCGTGCTGCCACACAGCCCGTGGTGCCTCTGCAACCTCTTGGACTTCTGTGTGTGCTGACTCTTCCCTGCCAGAGGCACAGGAAGGATCTGGCACAACATCCTGGAAGGTAAAAATCATCTGCATTTGGTGATCAATGAGCAACTCAACTGAACAATGGGATGGCGTGGAAGGAAAACGTAAGGACTTTGGAGGACTTCCCACACCTGGCAGTTTTGTCTCTTTTTTGGACATTCTGTTTGTTTAAGCACCAATGGTCTTACTGCTTTCTTTGGGGGAGGAACTAGAATGTTCTTTCAACCTTTGCCTTGTAGTTGAAGCCACGACTGGTACTTGCCTACTTCAACCCAGTGTCAATGATGTCAATTCTTAAGAGTCTTTATACAGAGCATAAAGGCTTCGAGGACCATCCTAATGCTCACTTCACTTTGGATTTATGAACTGATATATATATATATTAAAAATATATATATATGTGTGTGTATGTGCATATATTAAAACAACAAAAATGGAAATGACACTTTAAATGTGAAGTTTTGAACTGAAACTAATAGTAACCAGGAAATTCAAAATTCAGGCTGGTTCTTTGGTGTTAGTTGACATGATCATAAACTATAAAAATAAAAAGAAAAAGAAAGGGGAAGATTTGGAATTTTAGTGTCAGCTGAGTGTAAGCTTTTAATTTCACTGGTTCTGTTAGTTTAAGTAAAAAAAAAAAGTGTTTTAATGTCATTTTAAGCAAAGATTTTTAAAAATAATCCTAGTTTACTTATATTTAAAAGGAGAAAAAAAAGGCCTCAGAAAGTTGTGAAAGGAATATTAATTGTAATAATCCTCAACACTTTATGGGACATGATCTGCTCTCAACTGTAGCAGTTTAAATGAATGTAAAAAATAATTTGGAATAGAAATAATGATTGAGGTTATATTGGTACAGGATGGTGCTCTTACAAGATGGTTACATCCCTGTCATGTGAAATCTGCCCTTGCACAGAGGACCAGTAAAGAGTTTAAACCACTTCCATTACACTCCAAGATCTTAAGTGGAATTTATATGATCCAGACACCTTTTTTTGCACATCTGCAGCACTGATTTGCTGCTCTGAGAGCAGAATTTGTCCCCTTCTTCCCAGCTCTCTGCAGAAGTCACTCGAGTGTTTTTAGCTGATGGATTGGCCCTTCCTCTCTCATTAGATGCTTCCAAAAAGCTATTTGAGGAAGTTTCCCCTGCACTTGGCAGCAGGGACATTTTTGAAATCTAATGTTAAATGAATGGATAACATCAAGTTTGTGTTTTCTGCAGTATGGGCTTTCACAAGTATTATATTGACAATACTGTGAGTGTATTATTTTTAAAAAAAAAAAATCAAAAGCTGTATTTTGCATGAAAGACTAGCAGCCAGTTTTCAAGCATTAGTAAATTAGAACTTTGGAGATAAAAGATGTTGAACTACTGCCTCTAGCTGGAGACTTTTTGCCATGTTTCAGTCCAGAGCAAGAAGGTGTTTGGATCTTTATTTTTTCGTGTATTTTTGCTGGAGTTGTTGAAGCTTTTCCTGAGTTTATTTCTGGATTTTGTTGTTTCCCTGGCTGTCCTACAGTGCTCTGAAATTTGAGCTGGTGGATCTCAGTCCAGTGCCTCGTGGGCAGATGTCCACATCACCAAAACCACCCTCGAATCCTGCACGCTGGAGACCAGGCCCTGAGCTAAATTCAAATCAGTACAGAAAACAGTTATTGTTGTTGTTGTTGTTGTTAGAACAAACCTACTTCACTTAGGATTGGGATTTGGCTTCATTTGCACATTGTTATTACTATTTATTTTTGGTGGTCTCAGCAAGAGAATTCAAGGGTGGAATAGTCATGAAAACTTGGACTTGGCCCTTAATTCCTGGAGCAAGACAAGTTGGAGAGCAGTGGAGGGGAAATTTCTGCTGTTGCAGTCCCTGTGTTTCTTGCTCAAATTGAAGTCTTTGGTACCATTCACCAGCACTGAATTTCCTAGAGGAAAAGGTGCCTCTCGACATATTAAATGTACAAAATCTCATACAAACCACCCCCTTCTCTCATGATTTGACTTATCTGAAGTGTTGATGCACTTTGTAGATGTGGCTTTCCCTGGTCACCTGAACTTTCTCAGTGTTGCTGGAAAGATCATACTTGAGGTGTAAATAGTTATTGCAACCAGACCCTGGTGCCCTGGCACAAATTAGCCCTCAAGAAACCCTCTCTGTTGAATGTAAAGCTGCAGATGCTGCCCAGGCATGGCCACCACTCCCAGTGGCTGTTCCCATTTGTTCCAGGAGGGAAGGAACCCACAGGTGGTTTGCTTCCAGGTATGTGTAAATATCAACTGAGTGTAACAGTGCTTTGTTTGATTTTTTTCACTGTGAAATATATTTTGGAGCAAGAAAGGCTGCGTCCTTAAAAGCAAAACACAATTAAAATTGAAACAAGTGTGCAGTGCTCCTTGAGCCATTTTTTTCTACTGTGTCCATAATGTTTTCCCTGTCTAATTTTCTTATTTTGCTTTTATAAGTGTACAAAAACTTTGTGTGCTGCAGCTTTTGTGACAATTTACTGTATCTAACCACTGTTTGATTATTGACTTGTCAGTGTGGAGTGCTGGTACTACAGGACAATTAACATCCCAAAATGAGCACTACAAACTGTATTGTTAAGGACAAGGCTTGTTTCTTTGCTGCATGGTGACCTCACCTCCTTTACCTCCACCTCCATTTAGCATATCTGGAACTTAGAGCCCAGGTAAAGAAACTTAAATGCTTAGCTATGGGAATTTTTATTTCATAGAGGAAAACTACCCAAGTTCCTCTGCATCAGTTAAGTATTTGCATTTGAAAGCCAGGTGTTAAAATGGGGTGGTGGGAGAAGGGACAGAGATGAAGGCAGGGGAGTCCAGAGTAAAATGCAATAGAGGTGAAGTTTGGAAGTTAAATTCAGACACTATATTTGGTGTCTGGCTCCGCCTTTTCAGCATCTGTCTCTCATTGCAACTAAAAGACTGTGCCTTGCAACTGCAAGGCCAAACAACCACCAGAATTGGGCATGACCTGCCTGTGCTGGTGGTTTGAGATCACATTTGCAAAGGTGACTCTCCCCAGACTCTCTCCATCATCAATGGCAAGTGGGAGATACCTTCCAGAAGGGAATGCAGAGCAGTTCATGGAACCAACGACCAAGGCTGGAAGTTGAATGACCATCTGGTCCAACCTTCATGAGAAAGGGAGCTTAGCGAGGTTATTTAGCACCCTGTCCAGTCACCTCTTGGAAACCACCAATGCCACATCCCTGGGAGGTTGTTCCCATGAATGGTTGTTCCTATTCTAGAAAATTCTTTTCTTATATCGAAATGAAACCCCTCCTGGTGCAGCTTGTACTTGTTCCTCTTGTATTTTCCATGTGGATCCTTGTGAAGAAAGAACTTTATCCTCTTTGCAGCCACCCTTTTGGTACTGGAATAGTGTGATGAGGTTCCTGCTGAGCCTCCTCTTCTCCAGGGAGAAACTCCTTCAGTCTTTCTTCACTGACCATCCCTTTGTCCATCCCTTTGACCACCTTCATGGTCCTCCTTTGGACCTTCTCCAGTCTGGCCACCTCTTTCTTGAACTGTGAGGACCAGAGTGGGACACAATATAGAGTTTCTTAGACTCCTGCTGGAAACATGACCTGGGAGAATCTGCTCCTTTTCCAGAAGGGACAGAAGGATTAGTTGCCATAGTTTGCCTTGACAGTGTCATTTTTGCAAAATTGTGGCTTTTCATAGTATTTTCATGTCCATG